TTAAAGACATCAACATCCAGAATATACTGGATTAAATAAAAATTATCATAAAAATTAGTTTCCTTCCCCTTTCCTAACCCATTAGAAAACTGAGAATGGCCGGGTGGTGGTGGCACACGCCTTTAATCCCAGCGCTTGAGAGGTAGAGGCAGGTGGATCTCTGTGAGTTCGAGGCCAGCCTGGTCTACAGAGCGAGTTCCAGGACAGCCAGGGCTGTTAAACAGAGAAACACTGTCTCGAAAAACCAAAAGAGTGGGGGAAAAAGAAAAATGAGAATGATCATTGTGTCTTATCCCCCACCAGCCAGACAGCACTGCTCTCCACCCTCACTGGCTTTCTAGCTTGTCTTTTTCATGAAGGCTGTGCTTTCCCTACAGAACCAAAGACCATCTTTGTAGGCTCTGGCCTCATTCGGGGACACACCGCTCTCCTTAAGGCATTAATGACAGCCAGGAAAGCACAGATTGCCTTGCTGGACTTTCAGGGTTGTGGGGGAACTCTGATGCTGAATTGACTGGCCAGTGGAATCACATGCCATTATCAGCACAGGGAATAAAGCCTGCATTTCCTATGCTTAGCTCCAGGGCTTCTTGTTAGTCCCAGGGAGTTGAAGATAATCCCAAGATCACCAAGAGATTCCAAGAAGCTCTCAATATCAAATACAGTTTGACACATCCGGGACGTATATCACCCAGGAGTTATCAATGAATTTTTGTTTGGTTTGTTTTTGAAACAGGGTCTCACTATGTAATTCAGGCTGGCCTGGATCCATAATCCTCCAGGTTTAGATTTCTGAATGCCTGTGTTAAAATTACAAGTGTGAGCCATTATGCCAAACTTTTAAAAAACTTTAAATGGGCTGGAGAGATGGCTCCTTAGTTAAACTTACTTGCTATTCTTGCAGAGGACTCAAGTATGGTTCCTAGCACCAACATCTGGCAACTCACAAACACCTGTAACTCCAGCTCCAGCAGACCTGATTCCCTCTTTTGGCCTCAGAGGGCACACACACACGTGGCACACATACACATGTACACATAAATAAAAATACTAAAAAGAAAATGTTAAAAAGGAAAGTCTTAAATATGTTCATTAATTTATTTTTGTCTATTTAATTATGTTTGTTTGTTGATGCTGGGATTACCATAAACATCTTTGGCCACCATCCACCATGCTCAGCTAAACAAACAAAAAAAATTTATTTGTTTTTTTTTTTTCACGCTGTAGCCCAGGCTGGCCTAGAACTCACAGAGATCTGCCTGCCTGTGCCTCCCGAGTGCTGGGATTAAAGGTGTGTGCCACCACCTCCCGGCTAAACAAAAATTTTTAACAGAACTGAAGTTTATTAAAAAACATTTTTGACATAGATTTTTTTTTCTTAAGTCAGGGTCTCAGTATGTAGCCCTGGCTGTCCTGAAACTCCCACTATGTACACCAAACTGGCCTTGAACTCCTAGAGATTCAATGCCTCTGCCTCCCAAGTTCTGGAATTAAAGGTGTGTGCCACTACTCTGGTTTAACATAGATTTTTAAGTATAGAAAAAAAAACAATAATAAGACATACTCAAGTGTAGGTATGAACTTCTTAAAGGAGAGTCACCTAAATAACCCCCCTCAGATTAATTTACTTTTTATTTATTTATTTTTACTCCTGTGTCTGTGTCTATGTCTGACATGTGGTGTGTGTGTGTGTGTGTGTGTGTGTGTACGCACACATGCATGCCCGAGGAGGCCAGAAGAGGGTATCAGGTCCTCTGGAGCTGGAGTTATAGGTAGGTGTGAGTTACTCAACTTAGGTGCTAGCCCTCTGTAAGAGCAGTAAGAACTCTTAACTGTTGAGCCATCTCTCCAGCCCCCTAAGCAAGCTTCATAAATGCTATTGTTGTCCAGGCTTTGTGGTCTTCCAAATTAAATGGGGATGTAATAAAACAATGTTGTAAAAACTGCAAACATGAATATTCAGTAGAATTTCTTCTGAAGACTGAAATTTCCAGTGCGGTAACTATTAAGCACACATGGTTATAAAATATTAATGAATTTAAATTGACATGTATATACATGAGACTAGTGAGTACATTTTTTTCTTTTCATTTTTGTCTTTTATTTCTTTCTTTGTTTTTGTCTTTGTAGTTTCATAATTTTTTTTAGTGGCTGTATTTTATATAGTACAGTTCAATAATTCCAATGTTTCTCTTCCTTATTAAAAAAAAAAAAGCCAGATGTGGTGACACACAGCTGTAATCCCTGCACTAAAGAAATGAGGACAGAAGAATCAGAGTTTTAAGGGCAGCCCCAGCTACAAAGCAATTTTGAGGCCAGCCTGAGCTACATGAAACCCTGTCTCAAAAAAACCAAACAAATAATTGTAGAAAGATCAAGAACACTAAGCATCATTAATGTAATAACAAATGTGTACCATTTTTATTCTCCATCATCTTCTTTATACCTTTATTAAATTCATTAAGTTAAAAATTACTAAATCATCAAACTCATTTTCCTATGTTTTAAGATCTTCTGCCTAATTTTTTAATGTAGCAATTAGGCTAAATGGCACTCTGAGTGACACTGATTTTTATTTTCATCTCTGGTAATGGGCATATAGCTTATTAAGACCTCAGGAGTTACTGACTGCATCTTGGGAAAACAGCAAACAGCAATTTGACTAGACAGCCCATGATAACTAAACAGAGAAAAAAGGTGGCAGGCAATGAGCACAATGCTTCTGAATTTGCCACACTCTGCTATTTCCTTTACTCCTTGTTCTGCTTTACATTACCTGAAAATGGTCAGATCTGAAGCTGGTGCAGAGGTGCAGGACTGAATACTGGCACTCCCAGTGACTAAGGCAGGAAGAAGATCAAGATTTCAAGGCCATCCTGGGCTACATAGTGAGTTGGAAGTCAGCCTGGGTTACATGAGCCCAGACAAACAGCACATGAAATGCTCAGATTTGAACATCTGAGGCAAGCACTGAACCTATGATGACAAAAATGAGGAAGGTAAGAACGATCAGGACAGGGTCTAGTGCGGCGGCTCAGGGATTAAGAGCACTTGCTGCTCTTCCAGAGGTTCTGGGTTTGGTTCCCAGCACCCACATGGTGGCTCATAACCATCTGTAATTCTGGTTCCAGCAGATCTAAGTCCTTCTTCTGACCTCCAAAGGCACCCTCAAACATGCATGTGGTGCACAGACATACATGCAGGCAAACACACACACAAAATAAAATGAATAAATCTAAGAATGATCATGATACTAATAGGAGCTGCTAGTACTGACGTTCTAGCCTTTGACAACCTCAAGTCCTTCTTGTCTCGGAGCACTGGCCTTCTGCTGGGCTACTGAGCTGTCAGAAACAGTGAGTATTGTCTTCACAAGCAAGCAGGGGAAGGATGGGCCAGCAGAAGAGGAAATATGCTCACTGGGGCAACAAAGACCATAATATTCTCCTGCCTGAAAAAGGGTTGGAACAGTGTTATATGCCAAGAGCCAAATAGGAAACCGTGCCCCATGTTCCCCACCGACTTGGAAACAAGAGCATGTCTTACTATATGAGAGATTAATCAAGGGAAGTTGACTTTCTCTGCCCTCCTGTCTGCAGCAAGCTGTCCTCAAAACACAGCAGACAGGGTTTTAGATGTTTAACTTTCAACCTTCTGCTGCAGCGTAAAAGAGGAAAAGTTTAGTAGCTGGATCAATATGACTAATTTTTTCCATTTTAGGCCTTAGACCACAAAGTACCAGAATTCACAGTAAGCCAGTCTGGATAGGATGTGGGCACGCTTGTAGGAGGAAGCCACACCCAGCAAACAGAAATTTCGTATGACTCAGGCCAATTTCTTTTAATAAGAAGACACCCAGTGCTGAAGGCAATAGGAATTTACAGTTAAAATAGATTTGTGGAGCAGTTTCAGAATCCTGAGCTTAAGCTAGATTAACACTATCATTGGCAAGCATTTTCTTTTTTACCCATCTTTTAATTATATACATACAGGGTCAGGAAGAAACCTAGATCTCAGTGCAGGCCAACATTCAAAAAGTCTGTGTGAGGCTTTTTTGTTTTGTTTTTCTGATAGTGGAAATTTTCTCTTTAGTGCTACACTTAGCTACTTCATCTGCCCATAAACGCAAATATACACACCATCCTTTCTCATCATCTCAATGGTTCTTATCCAGGGGGTAGTTTTGTTCCCTAGAACTCATTAGGAAAAGTCTACAGACACTTTTGATTCTTATAACGGGGGAGGGGGTGCTGCAACTAGGATCGAGGGAGTAAACACACTCCCCGCAGCCCCACACCCGTTCCCCGGGTGGAGAATCCCTTTAACACCATGACGTGGACAATAACTTACGTCTCCAAGGGAGCCACAGGGCACTGAAGGAAGACCATCTGCTGCCTCATTTGATCTCACATATTTTCAGCAGAGCACACACTTACAAGCTGGTCAGCTAGAATTGAGTCTGGGATTTATAACTCCAGGCAGAATATTCTGGAGCATGAAGACAACCACCCATGTGCAAAATTTAATCTGCAAATTCTATAAATGTAAGCTCTACTGCAACAGTTTGCAGTCTGCGCATCAACCTTAGTCAAAAGAAACAATATGATACCAGATTTCAAGACATTTCAAAGTTTTCATAGCCTCGTCCACTTTCAGCAGGACATCATTTAGCATGCTAAAACAGGTCTAAAAGGACTTTCCATGTCTGCTGTCTTTACAGTCATGTTCACAGGCTTTTTGTTTTGTTTTGTTTTGTTTTGTTTTTGGAGACAGGGTTACTCTGTGTAGCATTGGTTGTCCTGGAACTTACTTTGTAGACCAGGCTGGCCTTGAACTCACAGAGGTCCTCCTGCCTCTGCCTCCCAAGTACTGGGATTAAAGGTGTGCACCAATATCGCCCCGAATGTTCACAATTCTTAAAGTGTATAATCCCACATTGAAATTTCTACAGGGAATCAGCAACCAACCTTTTCACTCTCTTAAAGGAGTGGAATACTCACAGGCTCGGTTCCGGGTTCTGTAAGTGCAGGTGTAAAGACTGCAGGACCTCACTGGCATAGACCTCGGAACCTGGAAGCTTCTCCACAGCAATGTACAGGGAGACGCTCGCAGAATCACTCTGAGGTGATTCACCACCGGCATCTTTAGCTTGGACTTTCCAGCAGTGGCTAAACACCTGGAGGGAGCCTAAAGACCTGGAGGAGGGCAGAAGAAGGAAAGCTAGACACAGTGCCCAACACCGAGTGAACAGCCCAAGGAAGCCTCAGAGAAGACAACACTGGGAAGGCTACTTCACACCCTGATGTGGGGGTGGGGCAAATGAGAGCCAATAGTTTATTCACTCTTGTTTTTCAAACTGAGTGCCTTGGTGGCATGCAGGGTTCAGAGGACTGACTCATGAGTTTGGCCATTCCTTCAGAGTTGGCAAACATTAGAGGCCCAGAGAAAAGATTCTTCCTCATACACATAAAGATTGTTGGTGGTAGCTACCATTTCTTAAAATTAAAAGAAAATTTATTCCCTTAAATCCTAATTAGTTACCCAGTATGGTATTTACATGTCGGAAGAATTCAATGATTAATGCTCCCTTCAGGCAGCCTGAATTAAAACAAAAAACATTTGTTCCTGGCTTGCTTTTAAAAACAATAACAACAGCAGCAGATACATCCTGCCAAAAGAGTTCTGGGTAGTTTTGAAATCTAAATTGAAGTATAATCTGTGACTCTTGCTCTGGAACACAGAAAAACCGGCCAATGGTGAAGTCTTAAATCTTGTCTCTACCACGCCCATTCACAGTGATAGTTTCCGAAGCAATGCTTTCCAAGGTACCGCCACAGAGGCCTCAGATTATGGTACCATTAACTTGGACCATTTCCCTTCCAGCAGTCCCTCACCCCTGCTCCACTATTGCTTCATTAACTTCTCCTGAAGACTCTTGTCCCTGTAACAAGTGAACAGACAAGTTCTCAAATGAAAAAATACCAACAAATGACCAAAACTTCTTTAAAGCCCACATTCATTCCTAAAACCTTTCTCCTGCCTTCTGTGCCTGGTTAATTCCTGCTCACCAGTTATGTGACTGACTACAGAGCCACTCCCTTAAAGGCTCCCTCAACTCACACTCACCAGGTTAGCATAACACCCTCTTCTTGGTGCTTATCACAGCTGAATTAAGTAGTTGATCAGAAATGCACTTTACAATTCCATTCTACCCAGAACCCAAGCTCCCTGGTGGAAGCTGCATCTCTTAGGGGCAATGCCTTAAAAAAAAAAACATGGGTTTGGGGACTGGAGAGATGACTCAGCAGTTAATAGCACTGGTTGCTCTTCTGGAGGACCAGGGTTCAATTCCCAGGACCCACATGGTGGCTCATGACCATCTGTAACTCCAGTTCCAGGGGATCCAAAGCCCTCTTTCTGGACTCCATAGACTCTGCATGCACCTAGTGCACAGACATACACACAGACAAAATATCTGTACACATAAAGTTTAAAAAAAATAAAACATGGGCCAGGCGGTGGTGGCGCACGCCTTTAATCCCAGCACTCGGGAGGCAGAGCCAGGCGGATCTCTGTGAGTTCGAGGCCAGCCTGGGCTACCAAGTGAGTCCCAGGAAAGGCGCAAAGCTGCACAGAGAAACCCTGTCTCGAAAAACCAAAAAAAAAAAAAAAAACAAAACAAAACATGGATTTGAGGACCTGAGCAGTTTTCCTTGTGGTGGTGAACTGTAGATCTTAATTGTAAGAACTGAGAATTGTGATATGACAGCCAGGAACGGTCCCAAGGGTCTTTCCTAGGGTTCTGTTTTATTAATTTTATTATTGCAGTGGTAAGTATCCCAAGGTTTCATGTATGCCAGGCAAGTGCTTTACCACAGAGTTATACTCTCAGACCACATGGTTTGTTTATATTATTTTTTACTCTAGTTTAGGCACTTAAGGGTGGGAATTCTCCCAACACTTTAGGTTGTTGTTTCAACGTTTATTATAATTTCCTTTGTTCCAGATACTATGTTGGACACTGTGATTCTAAGGAGGGACAAAAGACATTAAAAAATAAATCCTGATACATGGTATTATGTTACGTTGCTAGAGGGAAAGAACTCCACTTTATCTCTGTTGCTGTGTATTTCAGCTTACACTTCCAGGTCATAGTCCATCATTGAGGGGAATCAGGGCAGGAACTCAAGCTTGAGCTTGAAGCAGATACCATGGAAGAATGCTGCCTGATGACTTGCTTGCTTGATGGCTTGCTCTGGCTCAAGCTCAGCTAGCTAGCTTCCTTATATAGCTTATATGTGTGTACACATACCCATGCATAAAAATAATAGTAAATAAGAATGTAAAATAATCTTGCTCAGAATGACTACCAAAAACCAACCTAACATCATCTACATGTCACAGCTAAAATAGAGTGGAGGAGTTGCCCGTCTATTGTAAAGTAAAATGCATTGTCTCATATAAAGATAAACGAAGCACATGTAGTACCGACCATAGCAAACTATAGACCAGAAGGCAGACTGATGGTTGCTAGGGCGGCAATGAAAGGGAAAACAGCAACTGGCCACTTACTAGGGAGGAGTGTTCTTGAGGTGATGGAAGCTTGTGGAACTAAACAGAGGTGGCAGTTATACAAAACTGTGAAAAGTCTAAATGCTACTGCAATTTTCACTTAAGGAAGTTAGTTGTATTTTGTGTGACTTTTTTTACCTGAACATTTGTATTTTCTAAAGCAAAGAACTAGGGAATGCAGCAAACCATTTCACAGGAAGGTGTTTACCACGCTCGAGTTCCTGCCTTGAATGGAAAAAAACAGCTCCCGACACTTTGGTCTTGACTAGGGGGCAAAGGCACAAAATAAAAAGAAAAGTTGGGAGACTCTACAGATGCTTTTCACTACAGACGTGAATCTCTTCTTCCCAAGAAGAGTATTAGATGGAAAAAAAGAGTGAAAGTACCCCCTCAGAAAACTGGGATCATGAGCCCCACCCCCCCAACCCCAGTGCCAAAGCAAGGAGGCAAAGGATGTGAGCTCGGCCTCCTTTCCCTCTTCAAGCAGCACATGCCTGCTATCCAGTGGCTAGGAGCTGGCTGCTTTCCTCTGCACTGCTGCCCTTGACCTTGCTCCTTTTGAGCTAGAGGGAAGAAGGAAGGCTACCTGTGAGTAAGAGAGAAGTCAGAGCGGCAGTGACAGTGTGTCCTGTGAGAAGAGGAGCAGTTACTTCCTATAGTTACTCTCCCAGGGACAGTCAAGGGCTCCAGGCAGAACAGTAACTGTCATCACGCCATCTCCCCAGATGGTTACACTGGTCTCTCACCCAGTCCCCAGCATGCAGTGTGCATTACTTTGTCAAATGCACACCCAGGAGCAGCAAAGTGCATCCATCACACAAGAGGAGAGACTGAGAAGATGTTTCCAAAGCCAATGGCAGTCCTCACTTCTAGCCTGACTCTATCGAGGGCTTTTAAGCAAGTGATTTCTAAACTGTGTGTAAATTTGCTCAAAGGGTGTTTGAAATCCTCAAACCAAAGTTAAAAATCAATGTTATTTATAGTTTTATATGGTTTTGAGTGTATACATCTTTGGATAAAGCATGTATGCCAAGTCAGAGTCAATATTTAAACACAATCTTGTAAGAAACTATTTTGCTAGGGGATGAGGAGATAGCTCAACTGGTAAAGTGCTTGTTCTGTAAGCATGAGGATCTGAGTTCGGATCTCCAGTACCCATGTAAAAAGTCAGGTGTTGCAGAGCATGCCTGTAATCTCAGCTCCGGGGGAAACAGGCAGCAGGATCCCCACAGCTTACTGGACAGTCTAGCCAATTGGTGAGCTCCAGGGTCAATGAGTGACCCTGTCTTTTCAAAAAAGGCAGTAACTGAGGAAGATACACATACATTATCTTGTTTTCAAATATCATCTTTAACTGAATTAACTGAGCAGCCTTACAGAATAAGAGCTCATTGACCATCTCAATTCGTCATTTGGTTCTGCTTTCTTTTCTTAATCTTTCATTATGGAAAACTTCAAATTTATACATCAGGCCCCCTGGACTTGCATACATGGATTCAGCCAAACAGGAATCAAAAATACATGGAAAAGAGTTTTACCTGTTTTGGACATATACCACTTATTTTCAGTTTGAATTTTTTGTAATTTAAAATTGTTTTTCACTGGGTGTAGTGGTACAAACCTATAATACCAGCACTTGAGAAGCTGAGGTAAGAAGATTTCTAATTTGAGGCAAGCCTGGGCTACCTAGTGAGATTCTTTCCAAAACATGGGCATCAAAATAAATAAATGAAAATATTTAATGTACATAAAACACAAAATTGTGCGTATTTACAGAGTACTATATGTTATTTCAACACATGTCTATATTATGACTATGTCACTTTATATAAAAGACTTGAGCATCTTCATATTTGGTTTCTGAGTAGATCATACAATCAATCTCCATGGGATGATTGCATAGTGAAAAATTATTATCCTAAAACCAGCTACATGCCCTGTGGTGGTGGCACATGCCTTTAATCCTAGCACTTGGGAGGCAGAAGCAGGTGGATCTCTATGAGTTCGAGGCCAGACTGGTCTACAAAGCAAGTTCCAGGACACTTAGGGCTGTTACACAGAGAAATATCTGTCTCGAAAAACCAAAAACAACAACAACAACAACAAATACCAGCTACCAGCTATATATCCAGCATTCTATTTCAACAAGTATCTATCTATTAATAATCATGTTTTTTTATTAATACCCCTGCTTATCCTCCTTGGGTCATTTTAAAGATTTATTTGTTTGTTTATTTTATGTGTATGTGTGTGTGTTGTTTTTTTGCTGTTGTTTTTGTTTGCTTGTTTGCTTGAGACAGGGTCTCACTTTGTAGCCTTGGCTGGCCTGCAACTGGCTATATATACCAAACTGACCTTGAACTCACAGAGATCTACCTGCCTCTGCTTCCCCAGTTCTGGGATTAAAGTCATGCACAGTCATGTCTGGATTCCCTTCCCTTTGGCTTTTTTTTTTTGAGACTAAATCTCACTATGTAGCCCAGTCCTGGAACTCACTATGTAGCCCAGGTTGGCCTTGAACCTGCAGGGAAGGAATCTTCTGCCTCTGTGTCCCTAGTGTTGGGATTCTAGGCATGCAGCACTACACCCAGAAGTTTGGGATAATTTTAAATGCCATGTTTAA